TTCACTCATCCCCAAAGTGTTATTATAAAGTGTTGGTAATTAAAACATGAGTGTAGGCACAGGTACAGATGGAATACAGAGACCAGAGATAACGCCAAGCCCTTGCCCTCTTCCTCCCTCATCTCCGCTCCTGCTCCCCGCTCCTCTTTCATATATGACTGAGTTACCTTTATAGATAGGAACTGCGCAGGCAGAGCACCCCAGGGACGCTCCTGGGGTAACACAGGATTTCTACCTCATACCCCTTTCATGAAGAAATTCCAGATGATGTCAAGTCCTAAATGTGAAAAACACAACTTTTAAGCTACCCTATTGCTAAGTGAAATAAATCAAGACACAGAAGGGTGATGCATCACATGGTTGGTTTCTGCTATATGAGAAACCCAAAGCATAAATAAGAGCAAAATGAAAGAGAGATGATAGGAAACAGGGAGGTAGACTACGTGGAGATGGGCAGGGGATCTGGGAGCGGGGCAAAGAGGAGGGAAGGGGGGAAGGGAGAGTAAAGTGGGGCAAGACGCGATATGTATGCGAAGCAATCCCCCATGAGCAAGGTATGCACCGTGCTCCACAAACGTGCTAACAAAGCAGGAAAAACAGCCACACCTAGCTACTGACCTCGCTCCTCAACTGTGAGTGGTTTATGACATGAAATTGGAAAAAGGCAAAAAGATCTATGCATAGCAATGTATGTTCAGATCTTTATTTTAGAATGTAAAAAGAGCCTTAAAACATAAATACAAAATCAAGAATTATGCAAATAAATTCTACAGTATACACAGCTAATAAAATGATGCAAATCAATACTAATGACCTAAAATTAACTCTATAAAATGGATTACACATAGTTACAGAAATTAAAACCATGATAGTAAAAACCAGTGGAATATGTCCAAAAAAAAGAATATTAAGTAATATACTCAAAGGATTTTTGACAAAAATACAAAAGTAATTTAATTTGTGAAAAGATGATCTTTATGACAATTATTGTTAGAGCAATTTCATAAGCCAAAATAAAGTAAAATAAAACACCTTGTACCTAAGTCTCATACTTTGTACTAGAACTAACCGAAAATGGACCATAGACTTTTTTTTTTTTGAGACAGGGTCTCACTATATAGTTTATGCTGGCCTTGAACTCACTATGTAGCCCAGGCTAGCCTCAAACTCATGGCAATCCTCCTGCCTCAGCCTCCTGAGTGCTGGGACCACAGGTGTGCACCACTGCACCTCGCTGGACCACATACTTTAACATAAAATTATAAAGCTTTTAAAGGAAAAAGACACAAGAGAAAACCTGTGGTATTTACAGCTAGCTAAAGAATTCTCAGACTTAATCCAAAGACATGGTGAAAAAGAAAATTTATAGGGGGACTTTATATATGTAAAGAACTTTTTGCTCTATGAAATACTATTGAGAGGATGAAAGATGAGTTAAAGACTAGAAAAAAAACCCACAAACTACAATTTGACAAAAGGACTAATATCTAGAATATGTTAAAAACTCTCAAAACTCCACAATGAAAAAAACCAAACAATATAATTAGAAAATAGGGACAACACACAAAAAGCACTCACTAAAGATGACATTCAAGGTCTGGGGATTTAGCTGACTGGCACTGTGCCTGCCTCGCAAGCCCAGGGACCCAAGTTCAATCCCCAGTACAGAAAAAAAAAAAAAAAGATGACATTCATGACAAACAAGTACATAAAAAATCCAACATCATTAGCTGTCAGGGAAATGTACACTAAAGTTACAAAGAGATTGCACTACACACTTATCAGGATGGCTAAAATAAAATTTAAGAGCTAGTAATATCAAACGCGACAAGGATGTAGAGAACCTGGACCTAGTGACTGTCACATGGTTTGGGTTGGCCATTCTGGAAAAGTTTGGGAGTTCCTTAAAAAAAAAAAATTCCACAGCAGCCACACAACCCAGGAATGGTACTTGGATATTCATCTCAGAGAAAGAACGAATCAGGTTCAAAGACCTGTACTATCCACGAGTACTTGTAGTGGCTCCACTTATCATAGCCAAAACCCGCAAACAACCCTGATGTCCTTCAGTGGGTAAACGCATAAAAATACTGTACTGCATCGTTACTGAGGAATCTGATTCAGCAAGAAGAGAGGAAAGAACTACTGACATTCACAGCGACTGGAATACGTCTCCAGAAATAATGCCAGTGAGGAGTCAAGTCTCAAAGTAATACACTGCATGACCACACTTATGTGTTTTCCATATGACAACATTAGAGAAATGAACAGATTAGCGATTGTCAGGGGTTACAGAATGATGAGGCATAGGTACAAAGTCGAGGCAGCTCTGAACAATCTGAGGGATCCTGTGGAGACAGAAATGTTGTACGTGTGTGTTGATATCCTAGTTGTAGTACCGAACCACAGCTTGGGTTTTATTTTCCCCCCTTTAAAATTTTTCTTTTTGGTACCAGGATCAAACTCGGGTCCCTGTACTTAGGAGGAGGGCGGCGGAACCACTGAGCTAAATCCCCGGCCCCTTGAACCACAGCTTTGCAAGATGTTACCACTGGGAAGCTTAGACAAGGGTACCTGGCAACTGTTTATATCACTTATTACAAGTGTGTACAAATCTAAAATTATATTAAAATCCACAAATTAATGTGAATAAGCAGTAATTGCACAATAATAGAGTATTTGGAAATACAAACTACAAAAATATTAGTGGTTATCTATATTGATTTTCCAATTTCTTCATGCACTAATGTATTACAAATTCTTTTTCAAGCATGCTTTACTATAACAAGCAAAATAAATTGCGACATTTTTCTTATAAAAAGAAAAGTAGTATACACTATTGTATACAATTCCACCACTTTACTATATATTAATTATTTTTAAAAAATTTAAAGCTGCTTAATGTCCCATCACATTGGTCATTGATCTATGATAGGGAATTTTTCCACTTTCTTATTGGTAAAAAAAGCACTGTAAGCCAGGCATGGTGGTGCATGCCTGTAATCCCAGCACTTGGGAGGCTGAGGCAGGAGGATCGCTGTGAGTTCAAGACCAGCCTGGGTTACATAGCAAGTTCCAGGTCAATCTCAACTACATAGTGAGACCCTGTCTCAAAAAACCAAAACCAAAACCAAAACAAAAAAAAGCACTGTAAGAGGTATCTTTCTACTTAATCTTCACAGGCATCCCCAACTGCGTCCTATGACTGGACCTCTAGCCATGCAGCTACTTAGGGACACTGGAACATACTGAACAACTGCTATCAATTTATGCCCCCATCATTAGTACTTGTACGTGAGATCACTTTGCTTTGTCCTTGAGAAATTGCCAAAGTTGTATCCGTATTCCAAGCTCCACAGGTCAATTAAATAGAAAAACAGACAAAGTATAGTAAAATTGACTTCCTACCCATCTTTTTTTACACAACGTAACATACTTGCTTATTCATCTTCATTTCCTTTCGCCTTCTGAAAGTTCAACTTTCTCAGCCGAACATCTGCAGCCTACCTCTCTCTACCTGCTTCACCCGCCTCTGGCCACTCTTGCCTCCTTGCTGTCCCATGCATGTCATGGGGGCAATGCCTCTGCTCCAGGCCTCTGGTCTGGATATCTGCAGTCTCACCCGCTATCAGAGGCCTTCCCTTCCCTCTCTGGATAAATCCGCCACCACTTCCTCCAGCTTCCTACTCTGTATTTCTTGTTCTGTCTCTGGCAATGTCATACTCCACATTTTCTGGTTTTTTTGTTTTCTCTAGTTTTACCACTTCTCTACTTATGTGAGACAAAAAAAAAATCCTATTTTCCAAGGCACTGCCATTCCAACTCATACAGACTTTAAGTTCTGTATCTATCATGACAAGAAACAAGATCAGCTCTAGTGGAAGCCTTCCCTCTTATAATTTTTGTATTGACCTCCTTTTTCCATGTTGGCTTCCACCTTTACAAATACCCACAATCTAATGCTGTTTGCTGAGGAGCCCTATTCATACCGCCCTTGCTGTTCAATCCGCAAGATTGCCATTTGGTACCTCTGCCTCTGCCTCTCCACCTTTATAATATGCAGTCTTTGTGTCCTCCAGGTCAGCCAAATTAACAAATCAAGTAGCATGAATCCAACAGCAGTGTTTGATTCAAAAGTAACTGAGCTGTAAAAAGATTCCTACAGCTTCTAACTGGAAAAAGAAAAACACAAACTGTATGCCATGTGTTAAGACATTTCCATCCCATATTTCTTCAACTTTTGTCACTACTTCGATTTGAGCTTAGTCTTTCTGCCTGAAAAGTCTCACTCTGATTTAACATTATCCAAGGACTTCCTGATTTTCATTCCATTCAGTGTTGACCTCCTCCCTCTGAACAGGGAGGAACAGCAGCGCAAGATATGCCTCTTCCTGACATTTCTTCTATCTAAGCAAGCATTTTTCTACTTCAGTGAGTCTCCATTTCGCATTGGATTTCAGTAGAGAATTTTTTTCTCTCCTTCAAGATATATTTGAAAGCCCTATTTTTGTTTCTATTGCTTCCATAGATTATATCTTATAGGCAGGATAAGATCTGATCCATGTAATCAGTCCTATGAAAAACGCTTGCTTTGAAATGTCATTAAAAAATTACTCGTAGGAAAACCACTTTGAGGTAAAATATATGTATAACCTTACAAAGAGACCACCAGTATAATATTCTATGTTTTCTATCATTAGGATATGTAACACAGCGTGACTTGACAGATCATTTTTCAAGGCTGCAGTGAACTACAAATATATTTTTAATTTTCCCTTGAAATCTTAAATAAATTAGAACAAAGCAGTGAAATTTTACTTTAAAAAAATAAAACATCCTATGTTACTTTGATGGTAGGATAATGGCTTTTAAGAAGCGTGACACTTGTCTAATTCTACACCAAAACATCCTGAGATGTTCAGCTGCACGGTTCCACACAGTATGTGAAATATTCCCCACAGACTTACAATCTTCCTCCCACCCCAGAAGAGCCTACTCACCAGACTTCTTTGCTTTCAAAGCAATAACAGCTGCTAGTTCTCTCTGCACCTAATAAAACATTAGGGGAAAAATCAAATTAGAAGAGGAAAAAGGTAACCACCAAAGCAGTACTTTGTTTTTATTTCATTTTATTTTTATTTATTGTATTTTTACTGGAGATTGAACTCGAGACTTTGTGCTTTTGAGGCAAGCAACACAACCACTGAGCTAAATCCCGGACCGTAGCACTTTGTTTTTAGATATGCAACCCAGTTAGGAGCTGTTGCAATGAAACCTAAGTTTACTGTCATCCCTGTTTTATTTTGTAATAGACAAACTTCTACATAGGAATTTCAGGCCAAAAATTCAGAAAAATCATATTGACTTAGTTTTTAAAAGTTAGTTGACAGAATGTATATATGGAGAAACATTGGTATATATGTCAGGATGAGTACTTCCAGGATGAGTACTTCAAAAACATAACTATGCAACATTCAGAAACCATGAAAATACTAATTAAATTACTAAAATATCTATGATATCTGAACAAAAACGTTAAATAGTATTTGTCACTCAGAGGTACTAGCTTATATAGAAATTCTAGAAACATCGAGACAGGTGATTCTGGTCTAAGTGGTTCTCTGTTCAAACGCACTGAATGTTTGTCACACAAGTGCACAGACTGATAGGGTAGGTGAAATGTCAGGGTTCAGATGGAGAATGTCCCCCCAAAGCTGCCTGTGTTTATATGAGGGGCCTCAGGGGGATATAGAGGATTTGGTGTAAGGAGTTGGGGTCTGTTGGGGAGAGGGTCACTGGGGGTGTGATCTGGATGGGAGTATTTCCTGCCCTGCTCCTCCCTTCTCTGTTTCCTGACAACTGTGATATGAACAGCTTTTCATCTGCTATGCCCTTCTGCTTGCCGTTCTGCCTCAGAGCCAGCTCAATGTGGACCAAACTGAGCCAAAACAAACCTCTGCTCCTTTAAGTTGCTGTGGTGGTCAGATATATTGTCCCTGTGACTAAGACAGGAAAAGGCAAGACGACCTTTAAAATCCTAAGTGTTCTAGACCCTATTTTATCTTCCAAAATTTTTAGCACTGACATGCCCTCTTGTCCTCCCTACTGTGAATGCTTAAAAGCCCTCCTTAAAAACATTCTCAAAAATAAATATTAAAGAGACAAAAATTTAAGCACAGTCATTTTCAAAGATAACATTAAAACAATCTTTGGAAAATCTATGCTTGGTAGCGATAAAAATTCCTTAATGACCAAGCTCTCATTTCCTTTAGAACACGGCCCAGAAGCTCCCCCTCCAGTGTGTGTGTATGTGTGTGTGTGTGTGTGTGTGTGTGTGTGTGTGTGTGTGTGTGTATTTGGGTGTTTGGAGGTGGTAATGGTGCAGGTTGGGATCAGCTGAATATATTACAGTAATGACACTTTAAAGGGAAAATATGGCAGTTCAAGGTTAAGTTGCAGACTTACTATTCAAATTAAGTTGATTTATATTCATTTACTGGAAGGCAAGAGCAGGGATGTGCTGGACCCCCTGGAGACTCCACTCCCAGTGGCCAGCATCCTCACCCTGAGGGAGGCAGCTTGCCCGAGACTGATGTCATTCCCCTGCTTTCCCTGTGGGTTGGTGCAAATGCCACTCAAAAGCATACACTCCTGAGTTAGCTGATTCTTCGATGCCTGAAGACTCTCAAGACCACCAAGACAATAGCACTAAGGCAATCATTCTCTCTGTCCAACCTTGAGAGTTTGGCTCTAAAAATGCTCATGTCTAAAGAATTAGAGGGAGGAAAGGGACGAGGGGCGTGAAAGTGAAGAATGACCACACAAAGCTTTTATAAACATGTGGAAGTGTACAAATAAAAAAGCAATAAAATTAAAATACCAATCACTGTATACGTTATATTTTGAGCTGAGGTGCTCACAGAGTTTATTGTAGCATCATCACCTATTTGGGCGTTTTTCTCCTTCACAGTGTCATAAATACTTGGGCATGAGGCAGAGATGAAGATACTGAGCATTCACTGGGACCCTGCCCGTGGCTCCCCATTCTCTGACCACCCGGAGGATCTACTGTGACAACAGAGATGGAAAATGAAGCATGAGGTGGGTCACTTATTTGGCCTCAGAGAATCCAAAACAAGCCCTTTTCATCCTCCTATTTCAGTTTTCCAGAATTCCTTCCACAGGACCTTGGTTGTTTTTTGTTTTTTTCCTTCTATAATTAGAAATAGGCTCAAAATATAAAGGGCTCAGAAAAAGGAAAGTATATCCTTAACACTGTATCCCACTATATCTTCTCAATAATTTGGTGCAGTAAGAAAGAAGAACGAGATGAGCAAGAAAACAACGGAGCATTTTGAGGTACCACAAATGAGTAATCTGAGGTGAGAAAGGCAAGAACTCTACAATTTAATTTTGAAAGAACCTAAGCATTTCTTTAAAAAATAGATAAATAAAATAAGCAAGATTTCTGGACACATTGCATCTTCGTAATCTCTACAGTGGGAGGATGTGTTTTATGCCAAGTGGAATGTAGCACAGCTACCATATTTCTTCTCCAGGATGGAAAAGATTTTTGACAAAAACCTGGGGCTGTAGCTCAGTGTAAAGTATTTGCCCTGCATGGATGAGGCCCTAGGTTGATTCCTAGCAGCATAGAAACAACAACAACAACAACAACAACAAAAGGTAGATTGTTCTTCCTTCAAAGCACAAAAGGGAAAGCACTGATCAAGTGAAACACAAACTGGGTAAGCACCTGTTATATGCTCGCATAGTGTCTTCTCAGATCTTTTTTGTTTGTTTCTTTAATACACTGGCAACCACATAACCAATTGTTTCAGATCGTGTGGCTGATGTCTGTCTTTGGGGCCGGAAGCACCACTGAGTCAGGGAGCTTTCTCCCTCACATTTTCCATAGCAATGGACACTCATTCAGGGGCCCACATGAGGTAGATACACACACGACACACAGTGCTTAAGAGAAATACAAAGGACCTCAGGGAGTGAAATGGCTCAAAGAAAAGAGGACAAAGAACTTTCAAAGGGAAGACAGTTCCCCTACCCTAAGCCACTCCCACCAGAAATCTTCAAAACACATTAGAAGGATCCGAAGACCCCTTTGCAAAAATTATGAAGTTTATATTGAAAAAATCAGACTTTGAGCGACTGCATAAAGAGAGGTTAGAATTTTTTTTCCATACTAAGAGACATATTAGCATTGGAAAAGGAACGCTGTCCCCCAGCAATGCCAAGTCTTCATTCAGAGGACGAGGTACTGGCTACATTCTGAACGCAACCTCCTAAGAGACCCTGATAGAGAACCACGCAGCTAAGAGCCTCCCACACTCCTGGAGAGCTGCTGAGGTGTCTTTCCGGACAACAGTCATTTTCTTAGTTCCTCTCAGCGTGCCTACCACAGGACCCCCTCTCAGGGAGGGTTGAGAAGTACGTGTAAAAGCCATGAGGCACATTCTGACATGGGCTACTGTTCTTTTTATAATGTGGAAGCTGAACCACTGCCTAGGTGATTAGAAGAAATGTCAATTATCATCTTGGCCTGTCTTTTCATAATCCTCTCCTTTCTTAATCCTATGGAGCTAACCGCATTTCAGAATTCAAAATTTTGTACATTTCATGAAGTTATCCTTCCTACATCCTATCCTCAATGAAATCTGGTGCAGCTACTTATCAAACACATTAATATTTCTGTGATGAAATACGTGATTATTCACACCAAATGGGGCAAAGGAAGACCAAAAAAGCCTCAAGTCTTGATACCAAATATGTTCAATTTTGGTTAGATTTTGCCACCAAGTAAGTTATAAAAATCTTGTTTTTCAGAGCTATTCTATTTCAGAATTGTGAATAGAGACTATAACCCTCTGCTGCCAGGTGAGGTGGCACAAACTTGTAATCGCAGCACTCACAAGGCTGAGGCAGGAGGATCCCCATGAGTTTAAGGTCAGCCTGATTACAGAGCAAGATGCTTTCAAAAAACCAAAACAAACCCTCTGGTAAATTCATACTGAAACTTTCTCTCCTTTATTTTTCTCATGGCTCCTATTCTCCAATGGCTATTTAGAAAACTACTTTTGTCCATTAAGAAAAGCTTTCTTTAAACAGCTTGAATTTCCATCTATCTCAGTCGTTCTCAAACCTGACTCACACTGGAGTCGCTCATCAGCCAGACTCACCCACCAGCCAAGATGGAGCCAGCCTCCCTGGGCAGAGGGGCAGGGGTCTCTGTCTTTGCAGCCCCCCAGGGCTCCAGGTTGGTGCAGGGCTGAGAGCAGGACACATTTTGCTTCTCTGAGGCTCCACATTTCATTCTTATGTTCATATCTACTGACAATCAGTCTTTACTTCTTATTTTGCTCTCCTCTTATTTAATTGATTAGTGAGGGAACATGGCCTTCGCTGTGTCTTAGAGATAAAATTATGCTATAACCCAGTCAAATGATTAGATTCACTTACTGTATCAGCAGGCTGACAGACTCAAGTACATGGAAAATTGCAAGGAAGCTTTTTACAAAGCTTCCATTTTTATTTAAATATAGTTTACTCGATGTAGAAAGAAAGTGTATTATTCAAACCACATGCATCCAAGGACTTATTTGCCCTTGTGAATAGCTAAATAGAGGATGACTGAGGGACTGATAAGCCAGAGCCCCAATTTCTCCCTCTCCAGCGGTTACCAAACAGACCCTAGAGTCAGAAGCATGTTGAAATGTTTTGGCTTTCTCCTTAATAGAACTGATCACAAAAGAGCCTTGAAATTCAGTAAGAATCACAGCCAGCCTTATTTCTAGCATTCTGTCTTCTTTTTTTCCTGGCCCTTTAGTAATGCCTTCAGCTTGAATACCCAAATGCTCACAAAGCTGTTTTGCATCAAAAGCTAAGACTCAAAAGGCAACAGTAAGTATCAAATGAAAACCCTGAGTACCAGGAGCCTCTAGTGGGAGAGGTTAACTGAGAAAACGTGAGCAGGCTTCCTGGACCAAGACACAGAGGACCAGGAGAAAGTCAAAGGTCATTCTGGGAGGACAGAC